CCTTCCCCCCCCCCCCCCCCCCCTGTCGAAGCTGTCCCGCTATCTGGTGAATTAGAATTATTTCAGTCGTATTCTAAGGCAGCATTCTCGTACATCTCAGCCCCTCGCAGGTGCACTTGTTCTTGACCCACACACACCGGGAGGTGGACTCCTGGCCTTTCTCGTAGGCTTCGAATACCGTGTCGAGGTACACATCCTCCTTGCACGCCACCCCCGTGTCCTTGGCCTTCTTGCAGGTCTCCTTGCTCTCGAACTGGTTGCACGGGTCATAAGCTGCAACCAAACAGACGTGCTCATGTGGTGGTGCCCCCCTGGCTGGGAGGGCTGCTATAGCAGTGCTTACCTCTGGTCTGCTGCGTGTGTTGGATGAATCCGCCCGGCCCGCCTTTGTCGGCTCCGATGTTGGCCATGAGGGTCTGCCCCATCTGTCGGTTGGCGGCCTCGATGGAGTTGAGGGCCTCCTCGTGTGTGGCGATGGCCGCCCGGTGCGTCGCTATGGCGGCCCTGTGGAACGCCTTGCCTCGCGCCAGCTGCTGCTGGACGGCGGCGAGCGACACCTGCAGATGGGCGCCAGACGCCAAGTCAGCAGAGGAACCTGCACACATCATGCGGACGAGCCCCCAAGGCATACACACACAAAGGGACAGACAGATGGACAGATATCCACTTGTTCTCTCCCTTTGCTGAGGTCGTGTGTACCAGTCTCCGCAAAGGAGGGTGTCTCCCGGGGAGGGGGCTTCCACTCGCCATGGCCTGTTGTGCGTACACACACACACACACACACACACGTGTGTGCAGTGCATTGGACACATGGGAATCGCTATTGGCTCTTGCGATGTGTCCATTGCATGTGTCGCCTTGTCACGTACCAAGGAAGACGAAAGCATGTTTCTCCTTGTCGCTGTAGGTAATCTCGACTTTGCCGTCCGCCCCGCGCATATCGCTACTCTCGACCCGTATCAGCTGCACCAACCAACACGCAAACACACCAAGAGCGCGCCACTGGACTGACGTATATATACACATCCTGTCATCGTCATGGGAGCAACTGACCGCATCTGTTCTGATGCAGTATTTGTATTCCTCGACAGGCCTCGTGGCCCTTCCCAGACAGTACAACTCCGCTATGTCGCGCCCGAGCGTGTATCGGCCATGCAGTCGCCGTAGCCTGACGCACGGGCATCGGCACGCAGTTCCGGAGGAGCACGGGGCCTTTCTGTCTGTCTGTGCTGTTAAGCCCTTACCTTTTGCAACCTGGCCTGACGCCGCGAGCCCTGACTCCTCCGGCATGTAAGAAGCCTCGAGATATATCAAGTTCACCACACACACCGCTTCGGACGTGCTGCATTTCTCCTGGATGTGGCCGACGGCGTCGTAATAGTGGTAGTGGACTTGTCCGAGGATCTCAGAGTGCACCGGGTTCAGCCTCACCCCACACTCTGTGTGCACACACAACACACACATACATGTGCCATGCGGCGCCACGACAGCTCTGCATCCATCGTGGATCTGCCATCCATCCATCCATCCATCCATCCCTTCACTCACCGTCGGAGTCGTGCGAGTCCTCGGCGTAGAGGTTCTTGCCGTAGGTGAGCGGAAGGGCCAACATCCCCACGGCCAACAAACCCACCACCAGCTTCCAGATGAACGACGCCATCCTCCTGATGATTAGAATGCGCTCAACGGTAACGAGGGCACTAACGTGTTGTCGGACGCTCTATCGTTTTCCTTCCTTGCCTTGCCCCCGGCCTCCATGTAGATTTGGGAACAAATTTACGGAGGCGCGGGCCGCTCTCCTCGGCCTTCGATGGAGGAGGCATCATCATCATCAGCAGCAGCAGTGGATGTCCTCCAAGCCGACCATTTGGAGCATTCATCAGTGTCAGATCTCCACCCTCGCCAGACGTCCGATGGCATGACGATGGTCCCGCCGTCCCCCGGGCCCTCCCCTTCTCGTTGCGCAGCTCGGATGGCCGACCGTCTGAGGCTCCCCCGTGCCGGCGGCACCCCCTCCCCTCCCCTCAACACGCGCTCGCCCTTCCACCTCAACTATCGCATCCTGGCAGAGGCCGCCTCGGCCTTCCCCTCCTGCCCGCCCCCGCCATTCCCCCCTCCAGTCACCTCCTCAAAGCAGTCTACACACGATGCGGGTCAGCAGCAGCAGCACTGCAGCTGGGTTGATGCGGCGGCCGAGGGTGGATGCGTCGGCCAGCCTCTCTGCGGTGGTGGTGGCGCTGGAGATGGAGATGGAGATGGTGGTGCGGCGTACGAGTATTTTGGCGGGGATGTGGGTCAGTGGGAGGGCATCATGACGGCCGCTGGCGACGGCGAGGGAGGGGGATGGGACCACGGGCAGCAGGGGCAGGGGTACGGGCCGTACGGCATATCGTATTGTGGTCATCACGGTGATGATAGCATGGGTAGCATGGGTAGTGGCGTTGTCGTGGCCGGGGAAAGTATTGCTGTTGGTGTTGGCGTTGGTGTTGACGTGGGCAACTCTTGCGAGTATGAGGAGGCCCTTTGCAATGATGATGTGCAGACTACCGCTATGGTAAGACCACTCCACTGCTTACAAGAGATGAAGAGAAGAGCAGAAGAGCCCTCTCGCGCAACACGCCATCTCATCTGTCTGCTCATTCTTTCTTTATTGTGTCGATCTGTCTGTCTGTTCAGGAGGAGGCGTCGACCGCCGAGCAGCCCTCTCGCAGTCTCTCCCAGCTCGTGACCAACATCCTCACCGCTCACGGCCAAGAGGAACATCCGCACCAACAAACACACCCACACCCACAGCAGCAGGAGCAGCAGCAGCAGCACTCCGTGTCGCACCAGCACCAGCAGCAGCACCAGCAGACGGACCCCTCCCTCCCCCTCACCTCCACCCCTCCCCCCTTCCACAAACAGACTACTCCCAGGTCGTCGCTCGGCCTCTCAGACCGATCAGACACACCTGTCGGACTGACCGGCGGCAGCAACACCACCACCACCACCACCCAGCCCAAGACCATAACCTTCAGCCCCACACCCACCCCCACCGCCACAGCAACAGCAACAGATGAAGATCGCAGCAAAGGTGGTCAGGAGGATCCGCTCCCCGCGTGCTTTGAGGAGCGGTTCGTCGAGTGGTTCGACCTGGGCCGCGTCGGTGGGTACACGATGGAGGATCTGGGCGGTGAGGAGCGGGGGTTGGTGCAGCGGGTGGTGGGGCTGGTGGAGCGGGGAAAACCCGACCTCTGTGTGACCAATGTCGAGATGCACGTCAACGCCGTGCGGGGCGAGGAGGGCGGGGGCGGGGGCGCAGATGGGGCCACTGACGTGCTGGTAAGGAAAGGAAGGATCGATGGGGTCGGTCCCGTTGTGGTCGACTCGTGACCGAATGATGCCTGTCCGTCCGTGTCTGTGTCTGTAATCAGGTGATTTTCCGTGCCGAGGGTCTCCTCTCCTCGCAGACACCGAAATGGACGCCCCCCATACTGCAGAGTGAGTACAATCCACACCACCACACACACACACTCTCTCTCTCTATACATGTGTCCTTGGTTTTCCCCCCTCCTCATCTCTGTCCACCCCTCAATCCATCCATCAGGCGTCCACACCATCCTGACAGCGGCCGGTCTCTCGGCGCACCTCTCCCCCACCCACCTCACCGTCACCGTCGGCAGCCCCCCTTCACTGAGCATCATCCTGCGCTTCGCCCCAGCCATCCACCCCCCATGGCGCGCCGCCACCTGCACCAACACACTGCCCAACATCCAAGAGGAAGAGGCCCGCGAGGGAGGGGGAGAGAATGAGAACGGCAAGGCGGGTGCTGGGGTGGTGGGGCCAGTTGGGGCGGTGTCATCGGACCCCTCTCCATCCCCTCACCACCGTGCTGTCGAGAGCCCCCTGCTGTCGTCGGGCGACATGCCGTCCTCGCCCAAGTCCACCCCCACGCCCACCCCCACTCCATCGCACCCAGCGGCGGATGCAGAGGCGAGACAGCCGTCGCCGGAGGCCGATCGCAGGACGTCAAAGCCGGCGGCCCGTGCAGCAGCGGCAGTGCGGCCATTCAGCGAGGTGGGGCGGGCCATGCCGGTGCCGTACACACAGCAGAAAGAGAGAGAGAGGGAGAAGGAGAAGAGCTGGCACGATCATCAGCAGGAGCAGACAAGGGGCGGCGGTGTGGATGCGGGTGTGGGTGTGGGTGTGGGTGGCCACGTCTACACCCCCCAGACCCACTCCCACTCTCAGATAGAGACTCATTCCCAGCCACAGTCCTCCCTCTTCCAGCCGCAGCCGGCCCGTGTGTACACGCCGCAGCATTTGTATCAGCAGCAGTACCCCCTCTTCGTCCAGAGGGCCGCCCCCGAGCGCCACGCATTCTACCCCTCACGCCACCCGCCACACCCCCCTCCCCCGTACGAGGACAACAACCACCCCCAGCAGCAGCAGCAGGAGACACACAAGACGTCCCCCACCCCAACCCGCACCACAACACACAAGAGCGCGGCGCGTGTGTTCGTGCCATCGTCGGGTTTTTCCCACGGCAACAACCACCACCACCAGCAGCGGCAGCAGCAGCAGCAGCAGCAGCAGAGGGGCGCGGGCGGCGCTCGTACGTACTATCAGCCGGCACAGTGTTATGTGCCGGTGGGCAGCAGGGTTAAGGGGGATAGGGGGGGCGGGGGCAAGTGACACATACACACACTCAGAGACAGACAGACAGACAGACTGATGTGGTTAGGTATTAAGGAAAGGCGCCGAGGGAGGGAGGGAGGGAGGGAGGGAGGAGGAAGAGAGAGAGAGGGGGTAGCTCAACAAGGGCGGCTGATTGATCTTCTCTGGCGAGGATCTGTCTTACCGTGTTGATGTGATGGCCGGCCCGCCACGAGCCGCCCACCTTCCTATGTATGGTAGGTAGGCATTATTCTCACATACGATGCATGCCATGAAGCGAAGCACCAAAGGTGACCGACATTTTCGGCTGATTGACCTGACCGATACGCTTGCAGTCCGCGTACTCTCTGCCTCTCTGCCTCTCTCTCAGAAAGAAGAATAAGATAGTGTTTTGCCCCAGCCAGCCAGACAGACAGCCAGCCAGCCCCCTGTCTGTATGTCTGTCTGTCTGTCTCTGAGTGGGCATCAGCAATAACGCAGCGGCTGACATGTGTGTTTGGATCGATGGATGGATGGATGGATAGGCTAGACGGAGACCAAGGCATGGCATGGCATGGCATGGACTCGCAACCCCGACAGCAACACAACATACATACGTCAAGTCACTCGCAACACCAATGCCTGCCTGCCATGTAATTGATGTGCACTGATCGGTCTCTCTCAAGTCAAGTCGTCGTCACATGTGTGTATGTTTCTGTTCGGTGTCCCTTGTCGCAGTGGTGTGTCCCCCAGCGCTGGCAGTGCGGTGCACCCTCCCTGTGCCAACAGGCAGGAAACAGACCAATGCCACCGCAGAGGAACACCACCTCCTGCGAATATTCAACACCGGCAACGATTGGATGCAGTCTCAACACGCACCCAGCCACCATACCATCCGTCTGGCCAACACTGCCCAGCCACGAACAAACACGTTAGCCGTCTGTCTGTCTGTCTGCCTGTCATTCCAATGCGCCGCTCGGACAGCGGGACGATCATGCGGCGAGAGAGTCGCCACATGACCCCACCACTACACTCGCGGCTCAATGAAACACCAGACAGACAGACAGCAGGCCGCCCAAAGAGAGACAAGGAAAGAAAGAACCTCACTCACTGCACAATCTAACGATCAGTAGCAGCAGCACCAGCACCAGGGGCACGGAAAGCACCGCTCGCTCACACCATCCATCCATCTACGCGTCAGTCCTCCTCCTCTTGCCCTGCGGGCTCTCGACTGCCGCAGAAGACGACGCACCGCTGCTGTTGCTGCCGCTGCTGCTACTGCTGGTAGACGAGCCATCGCCTGAAGGTCCGCTCTGATCATCGGCAGCAGCAGCAGCAGGAGGGGTGGCGGTGAGGAGGGGTGGGAGGGGCTGGTGGTGTGGCGGGGCCGCCGCTGCCGTGCTGATCTTGCGGCACTCGAAGGAGCCAGTGTGGTCGTTGGAGAAGAGGATGTTGCCGTCTCGCTCCTGGATCCATGTGCCCTTCATGAAGAGGCCCGACGGGGCCACCACCGCCGAGCAGATGTTGGTCCACTCGTCGTCGTCGTTCCTGTCCCGCCCTCGCTGATGAGTCACGAAACTGTTGCCATGCTGCACACACACACACACACACACACACACACACAGAGAGAGAGAGAATAAGTGGCCCGTCAGCCTCAGGCGGTGGAGGAGTGTCGGCGTGAGTGAGTCGGCTGACTGACCAGTTTGCCAGTGATCTCGAAGATCCATGGTTCGGTCGCCGTGCCGGTCACCCACTTGCCGTGTTGGCTGAGCCGCATGTCGTACTCGTAAGCCCCCGAAGAGTCGTAGCAGCCCTTCACGCGCCAGTACCCTGCACACACAACACACACACACACGCACACACACACACACCTCTGTGCAGGTGACATCTGCCGATCATTTGCCGCAAGCACCTGTAAGGCTGAGTGTGCAGATCTCCCTGACAAGGGAGCGATAGCACGGCGGCGCCGCGGGCTCGCTGTCCGGGTCACAGTAGTGACACAGCCGCCTGAAATGATCACACACACACACACACACACATCCTCAAACTCATTGCGGCCGTCCTTCTGGCGTACGCACGGTGGCGCACCCACCTGTGGATGGGCTTCCAGACTTTGGTGTCGGCTGCTGGTGAGGTGACGGCATCCCTCAGCCTCCTGCAGGTCCTTGCGGCCCGCCCGAGAGCCCTCACATCCAGGTATTCGAGCAGGATCAGCAGTAGGTCGTCCTCCAACTCAATCTCGAGAGCAGACTGCTCCGCCATCATCACCGTTCATCACCCAAGGCTTTTTGGATCCGAAGAAGCGAGCTTTTCTTTGTGCTGCGAGCTTTGTGTTGGAGAAGGCACCCGTCACTTTGAGGGAGTTTTGAGCTCACGTACGAACAGCCGGAGGCACCGCCGTCGAGTTTTTGTGTGTTTTGAGGACAGATCGGGATTGGTGCACCTCACTAGGCGTGTTGCGGTTGTGAGGATGATGCTGCAAGTGGCGTCAGTCATGTCGGGTGAGAGCGGTGGCCTGGTGTCCCGGATGGACAGCGACTCCCTCCTCGTCGACCTGTAAGCACCACCACAAACCAACCAACGCCGACAGAGCAGACAGACAGACAGACACATAGACAGACAGACAGGAGGGAGGAGAGAGGAAGGCCAGATCTGCAGCAGCAGCAGACAAGGGCAGATTGATGTGCCTGCATGTCGATGTCATATTGTTTGATCTCTCTCTCTCTCTCTCTGTGTGTGTGTGTGTGTGTGCGCGACCCATCAGCGACTACACGACGACTCGCGAGCGTCAGGAGCAGAGCGACGCCTCTCTGGCCAAGAAGTGGGAGTCCGAGGGCGACCTCCTACAGGCCGCCCTCACCACCGACCCCAACACCAACAAGAAGAGATGGCGCTGGCGGGGCGCACACAAGAAGCCCACCAAGCCGCAGGCCACCCTCAACGGCCTGCCCCTGCCCGTGCCGCCCGACGGCCTGGCCACACAGGTCGAGGACGTCCCCGAGAACGAGCTCGAGATGGTCCTCTCCAAACTCAGCTTCCAGACGGGCCAGCCATACATCGAAGGGCAGGGCTACCACGGCGGCAAGACCGCCCCGTCCACACACACAGGAGGGGGCAAGGTGGGCAAGGTGGGTGAGGATCTGGCGGCCAAGGTGCTGAAGAAGCCTCGCCGAAAACAGGCGAAGCGCAAGACCTTCTCGTCGCTGCTTGGGAGCCTCCTGGACTGCCTGCCCTGCCACGCACTCACAGCGCGGCTCGGCCTGGATCACGACGACGTCGATGACGGTGCGAGGGAGGCGCCGTTCAAGCCGGCGGCGTACAGTGCTGCGAGTTTGCTGCGGCTGCTGAGCCAGGCCGAGCAGCATGCCGATGACTTGGTGCAGGGGGCGGTGGCCAAGAAGCAGGCCATGCAGAAGAGACTCAAGGAGGAGGTCGACCAGGAAGTGGCGGCATACAGGTGTGTGGCAAAGAGGGAGAGAGGGAGGGAGGGAGAGGTTTCCAGCTGTGGATGTCTGTCTGTCTGTCTGTGTGTTCGTCTGTGTGTGTGCAGGGGTGCTCTCGAGAAGGAGTATCAGCAGGCCCTCCAGGCGGTGAGTGAGTCGCTCGTAGAGAGAGGCCAGACACAGGAGTCGCTGCATTTCTCCCCTCGTATCTATCTATTATGTGTGTCTTCCCGCCATTTAGGCGCAGCAGGACAGGAACGGCAGCCAATCTGAGAGCGAAGATGCATCCACACAACCGCCAAGTGAGCACCCAACCGACCAGGCCGGCGACAGAAGCCAAAACACACGTGTGTGTGTGTGCTGTGCCTGTGTGTGTGATGGCTGGTAGGTACTGGATCGGTGTCTCGTGCGTCGACCAACGAGGAAGCTGCTGCCGACCATGTCGACACCAAATGCATCACCGACGCCGTCGCCATGGCCATCCGTAAGACACGCACACACACACACACACACGTGCACGTGTGATCTCTTCATCATTCATCGCGACTCCCCTCTCCCTCTCCCTCCCCCTCTCCCTCTGTGTGTGTCAGATCATGTGACGAATGTGCCGTGTGAGGTAGACGCGACCACTCGGCAGTACCTGCGGCTGCCCAAGGGCATGATCACCACTGGCGGCCCTCTCAAGCACAAGGACACACACATACAGACCGACCCGCCACACACGCGCAGGGGGTGGCTCTGAAGCCAATCTGGTGTGGCACCCACCACTCATAGAACGGGGTGGTGGGAGTGGGGCGGGGCGGCGTGTTGTGTTTCCTTGGCCGTGATCTGTCTGTCTGCCTGTCTGTCTGTGTGTCTGTGTTGTGTTTGGGCTGGTTGGGCCGCCTCGCTCACCTTTTTGGAGCGGGGCGGGGGCGCTGAACGGCACGCCCGATGGATGGTTTTTGCGGGCGGGCTGGCGGGCGAGCGGGCGGGCTGCGCACGTGGGCGGCCGAGTGCTGCCTGCCTGTCTGTCTGTCTGTGTGACATAAATCCTGCCTGGCATCCTTGCTTACTGCTTACTTGTCGTCAGTGTGTGCATGTGCATACAAAACTCTACACACACGAGGAGAGGAGAGGGGGCAACCTTGACACAGGCAGCGACACGGGCATGGAGCGGGTCTCTCTCTTCCTCTCCCGTCGACTGACATTTTTGCCGCTCGACGCGGTGCGTGCGGCTGATGGGATGGATGGATGACACTGAGACAGATAGAACGAAAAGGAGAATTTTGATTCAGAGTGTCTGCTGCGAGTTAGTCTGTCTGTCTGAGTGTCCGAGTGTCTTTATGTGTGTCGTGTCAGTCAGTCAGTCAGTCAGTCGGGGGCAATTCGTTCGTTGGTTCGTGGCGTCTTTGGTAATAATTGGTCCATACCACACCGTACATGTAGCTCGTCTGTCTCGGATGAGCTGTGTGGCTAACGCTGCAGTCAGTCATCGCATTCATTGCATAGCATAAGGAGGTGGGGAGGATAGTGTGTGCATTTGTGTGGGCAAGGAAGGACTGTGTGGGCGGTTCGGATCGTGTGTCGCGTGCAGGTGTGTGTGTGGGGGTGTGGGCGCATCCGTGAGGATGGCGTAATGTGTAAGGAAGGCTTTATCGGAACACAATGAGCATGCCATTCCCTGTCCACTGTCGCCCTTCCTGCCTGCCTGTCTGCCTGCCTTTATCCAGCCATCGTCCTCTCTCTCTCTCTCTCGCTCCCATCACACACACACACAGAGACACCATGGATGTACCTGCCAAGCGGCAGACAACTGTTTTCTGGTTGAGTGATCGATCCATGATGCATACCTACGGGAATCCCGTGCTGTGTCTGCTGAAGCGACCTCTGACTCTTCCATTCTTCCACTCATTCCTGTGCAATGATGGCCTCGGTGAATCCGGCGTGCTGTTGCGACTCCTCCGCAATGACGCGGATCGATTTGCAATTGCCCGACGGGTTGACTGACTCATCATGGCACGGAAAGAGAGACCCGCTGCTGATCATTCAGGGAAGCCCGAAGGGACGGACTACCTGTCTGTCTGAGTGTGAAGAATTGATGCGTGTGTCCTGTTGTGTCGTGTCGTCTCTCTCTCTCTCTCTCTCTCTCTCTCTGTGACTCTGACTCTGATGCGCGTGACTGGTGACTGACTCTCTCTCTTGCCCAGTCGAATTCAGGATGGATGGATGGATGGATGGATGGATGGAGTGCGTGTGCGCTTCTCTCATCGTCGTCGTCACGCCATTCATCCCATTGATTCGCTCACTCAACAGGGTGCAAGCACTGCACCATGACATCACACCCACAGCCACTCGCTGCCCCAGCCAAATGGCATGGGTTCAACCCCAGCCTCTCCAACCCGCGATCCACTGCCACGGAGTTCGGGAAAACGGGAAAAGGGAAAAGCGGATGAGAGGAAAAGGAATAGGATGCTTGTGGAGAGAGAGAGTGACCCCCGTATTCTCCCGCTCTCTTCGATCTTTCCGTCGCCTTCCCGCCATTTTTCGGCAACTCCCTCCTGGTGAGTGAGTGACTCCTTCGCTTCCTTCGGCCTGCCTTACTGCTGACTGAAAGCGCTGCATCAGAATGGTGGTCATCAGGCGTCCTCCCGTCACCCTGCTCTTCTTCATCGCAGCTGCCGGCCTCAGTATCGCAGTTGACCAAACCGTGGACTACATCAACACACTCTCAGCTAGCAGTAGCAGTAGCAGCAGCATCGTCAGCCATGCCGCTTCGATGCCTGCCTTCCCCCTGCAGCACTCCGTGCCCATCCAGGCGGCATGGTTCTCGTGCAGAGAGCCCCGGATCTCTGGCGAGAAGAGGGCTAACACCACTGCCGCTGACGGGGAGCGGCGTTCTGCGCAGCGCAACAAGAGCGGAAAGAAGAAGAACACTAAGGGGCAGCAACAGCAGCAGCAAGGGCCACGTGCTGCAGAAGCGGACGCCACTGCTGTGGCTGCACGTGACTTTGCCCGGGCGCTGTCCTACATGGGCAGCTCCGTTGCCGACCACACATGGGAGGTTATCGAGGTAGGTACACAGACAGGTATGGATGGAGGGATGGATGGATGGATGGATGGAGGCGATCGTCGTCTTTCCAGCCAGAGATAGTGATTGGTCTGCACGTCATGTGTGTGTCTGTGTGTGTGTCTGTCAGGAGTTTGGGACGCGGATGCTGCTGCTCCTGTTGGCCCTTGGGGTGATCGGGACAATGGCCTTTCCGGCCGTGGCGTGGGTGGCAGATGGTTTGAGAAACAAGTGAGCGAACCATACGCACACACGCAATTGTGGACTAGGCAGCGATATAGTGATGCGAGCGACTGCCCATGTGTGTGTGTGTGTGTGTATGTGTTTGTGCGCGTGTGTGTGTGTGTGTGAGTGCAGCCCCGAGCAGGTGACTTTTGATAATTTCTGCGCAGCCGTCTACGACATCTGGTACGACTTCGTCTGTGTCAAGCCCTACCGCATCGCCAGACGGCTCCTACTCGCTGTCCTTCACATCTTCCTGGCACTCGTCGAGGGCGCCGCGTGGCTAATCGGCTTCGTGTGCAAGCCCGTCCACACGTGGGTGTCGGCCAAGCGGGCCGAGATGATTGAGAACGACCTCATCAACGAGCAGCGGCAGGAAGCCGCCGGCATCGTGGGAAGGGAGCTGTCGTCGAAGGACAAGTACGTGAAGCGCCGACGAGAGCAGAAGAAACGACGCAGACAGCGAAAGCATCTGGAGAAGCTGGCGGCCGTCCAATCGGCGCCACCCAAGCGATCGCCGGCGCCTTACGTGCCGATCACGCCCGACGACCACGTCATGACTGACGATGGGGCGGTGGTGGTGCTACGTCAGGACCACATCGACCACGAGCACATTGACGACGGCGAGTGGAGCCGAGTGGGGGCCAAGGGCAAGAAGGTCAAGCAGCAGCCGGCCCTCAGCAATGCTGCCACGACACCTGAGTCAGACCTGCCCAGCCACGGCGAGCCTGGTCATAGGGAACAAGGCGGCATGACGGTGGCGGCCGAGAAGCCGCACCTTGTCAAGGGAGCGGCGCATGAGCCCTCTAGCGACCGTCCTATCATCCCCTACCCCACCCCCACCCTGCCCCCCGCACCACCTGCGCCACCAGTACAACCACCAGTCGCCCCGGCCCCCGTGGAGCCTCCCGTCACGTGGACGCCGCCGGCCGACATGCCCCCTGTCCCCATGCCACCCAAGGCCCCCAAGGAGCCTGTCGCGCCGGTTCCAGTGACCAGGAAGAAGGCACCCAAGGCACAGCCGCAGCCACCGCAGAAGCAGCGGGGCAATTTGCAGCAGGGCGCGTTTCGCGACACCCCACCGGCACCACCCGTGCCGCCGCAGCCGCAGCCGCAGCCACAGCCACAGCCACAGCCGCAGCCGCAGCCCGCGTCGCAGCGTTCGGGTATGGGCATGGGCGGGGGGCATGTCGACGAGGGGCAAAAGCAGAGCGGGCCCAAACCAGCAGCAGCAGCAGCAGCAGCGGAGGGAGAGGGCGACATCGACGAGTTTGCCGAGTTGGAGGAGGCATGGAGGAGCGGTGCTGGCGGTGGCGGTAAGCTGCCATCGAGTACACCGAAGCCGCAGAGACCCAGGGGTGAGCGTACGCCCAACAAGCCACAGACCTCTTCACTGGCGGCCAAGGAGTCTCCCAAACAGCACAGCACGGCCAAGAAAGGCTGGCGGCCCGCACTGCGTCCAGCTCAGCAGAAAGGTGGTAGTGGCGCATCCGGTCACGTCACGGGCAGCCCCTCTTCGTCGGCTGTGGGGTCGGTGTCCCATGTGGCTGGTGAGGGGGCCGCCAGTGTGCAAGGGGAGGGGGCGGGTGTGGGTGGGGGGAGTGGGGCGGCTAGTTTGACGACGACGACCACGAACCACGAGAATGCTGCAGAGGGTGAGAGGGGCACACGGGATGGATGGATGGATGGGCTCCCCCACTGTGTTTGCGTCTTGTGTCAGGTGAGGTGTTCTCATGGCAGTGCAAGGTGTGTTACTCCAAGCAGGCGACGTGCCTGTTTATTCCCTGCAAGCATCAGCTGGCATGCGACGACTGTGCCAGGGTCAGCGACCGCACCGTACCGCACCAACGCCCTACCCCCCTCTCTCTGATGTGTGTGTGTCTCTCTCTCTGTGTGTGTGTGTGTGTGTGTGTGAGGGTCTTTTCAGGACCTGGAGGCGAACTGCAGCCCGTGTCCTTATTGCCGCGAGCCTATAGCGCAGTTCATATACGGTATCATCATTCCTGGCTAGATCACA